AATAGCATACACACATTAAAGAGGACAAAAAGGATCATTTTCTCACACTTTAACAAAATTTTTCGATGTGAGTGGGTCTTCGCTCCATTTTTTTGAAAGTTGATCCTAAAAGTTTGCATAAAAATATACATTTTTTGGTTTACAAAAACATGGAGCAAAGACCCACTATACCTTAAAAGTACACTTTTATGACAAAGCATTCGTATCTTTCCGAGAAATACTTGAAGTCCATTAAGTCAAGGTCATATCACAAACATGATTTAAATGCCACTATTCGTCAGTAGCTGCGTGGCGTAGTGGTTAGCGTGTTAGTCTCAAAACAATATGATACACCGGATTTTTATTGATAGGGGTTCGAATCTCACGAATACCATTTTATTTTTTTAATAAAAGAATAATTTTTCCGAGATCTTTTTTCTCAGAAAAGTTTTGTCAATCATAATTTCATAAATTTCAATAATGAGAACTTTATTTTAAATACTTAATTCACAAATTGAATATGATTTTATTAATATCTGAAGCTATAGGCATTCTGCACGCCTTGTTCACCCATCTTCTTTTTTTTTTTTGGTTTACGAAATGTCAAAATGCATATAAATTTGGTCTGAATATATTTTTTAGTTCGTTAATATTTTTAAATGTATTTGTATGATTTCTGTATAAATTATGTGTTTAATTGCATTTAACCTTGGATTTAGAAAAAAATGAAATTCCTATTGGCTGAGAAAGTTAGAATCAACATAATAGCTTTACGACAATTAAGTTTGATGAATAATGAATTTTGAACATTTAATTATTGCATTTTCGGTATACTCATCAAACAGTACATAAAAATCAATTATCATTTTTTTGTGAGGAATCCAACTTTCTCACATGGACCTATTTGTTAAGCCTTGTAACCGAAGATTTCTCTCTTTTCCTTTTTTTCTTTACCAAATATGATTGCCAGGTGTCAGAATTATTGAGAGAAAAATAAGAATACTGTCATCAACATAACATTTTATTAAAGTTGATTTTCTAAAGAAAAAATATTAAAAATGAAAACTTTAATGATACCATTAAATACACAAATGTCATATCCTGATAATAATGAGATCCCAAGCTACCGAGGGGTGAGATCTAGAGGGTTGACAAAGAAATAAAGTCGGGTCCGTCCTCCCATTAATTCTGTCTTGGTGTGTGAACAAACCTCAGGACCCCGCGTAAGAATGTACCTCCCATTGTTAGCAGCAGATACGGGGAGGAGCAAATTTAGCGCGATCAATGAGCAGACGAGAGGCACCCAGTACAGAACTTTCCGCGCGCTATTGTCATATCACAATGGAGGCGATGTATAATCTAGCTTTTCTAATATTTCTCTTGTCATTCCACGTCCCATCTTATTTATACGGAACTTAATTGAAAAATTATAATCTTTTTAATTCCTAACGTAAGAAAATATACCGTTTGACCCAAGTCTTCGTCGATACTTAATTCTCTTGTGAAATTGGTCTTTAATTGTGTGTAAATCAATTTTTTAAAAATTGATAAAAATTCACCAAGTTTGTAATCTTTTCATGTTGTATCTAATAATACATTCATCTGCAGAATTCCAATCTCTGAGCGTGTCATCTCTTATAGTATAGGGACATCTAATTATTTCCTCCGCTGAAAAACCTCTCAATATAGGATTCCATTTTGTAAGAAATAAAATGAACTGAATAAATTATGACTTAGATTTTAAAACTCGGTCTTCTGTTTGTAACCTGTTCACCAAAGTGCAATGTCACTCTATTATTATTTTTTTTAATTTTGAAATGACTAACTTGATGCCATAAAAACACTATTTTTATTTTCAAATATTGGTCTTACGCTTTTTTATGGAAAAGGATGAAGTGTCATATTCATTCAGTTCAAATTTTGGATCTTAAGTAATTTTGATGCTGCATGTACCGCTGTTTGTTTCGCGGCGTTCCATTGGTGGCAATTGAAGGATGGCCAATCAAGGGGTACAAGTGATGATGTGCCATTAATTCTTCTGTTTAAAAATCATATTTCAAAAAATGACAAGATTGTTTGCATTAGTGCCATCACAGTTGGTCGCGGGAGACGTCTGTGAAATATTTTTCTTAACAATTAAGGATCCCGCGCGCTTCCAATGGTTTCTTCCTAACACGTGTTGGAGATTCTATATCGTGAGATTTTGTTGCAGGAGTTGAGAAATAAACAAGCTTTATCGAAGGTCACAGATCTTCCTTTAAATTCATCAAAATAAACAAATTTTAGTCTCACATACTTCCTGACAAATTCTCTCAGGATATCTCAAAAAATAAACAACAATGAACTGATTAGATGTATATTGTAAATAATTTTTGTTCGGTTTTCTTCTTATTTTAAATAATAGATTTGTCCCTATATAGTTTTGTAAAAAAAAAAAAAAACAACTTGTGCATGTCATACATGTATAAATAAATTTGATGTCAATATATTCGATCTATGTATAATATAATGTACGATTTTTAAATAACTTATTTAAGAAATTATATATATATATATATATATATATATATATATATATATATATATATATATATATATATATATATATATATATATATATATATATATATGTATATATATATATATAAAATAGATATGATATAAAATTGTTGATAATTTCTGAGATAGAACACGAACACATCAAAATCGTGGTTTTGACCGCAGATTAAGTAGAAGATAAGAAAACGCTAAAAATTACTAGGATTATTCAAGAAAAGTGTGAGTGATATAGTCATCAAAGACCCACGATGGAGGGACAATAGGCCGATTATCCCCTGTCCAAACATTTGTCCACTTCACAAAAATACAAAAATAAGATGAAGCCACTGTGAATGAGCTTTGTCATTTCAATTTCTCTCTCAAGTCGGGACATCTCATTCAAACGCTATGTTAAATATGCCCTGGTGTCATCTTTATACAATGCTTATTCAAGTCGCTGTAAGTTATGTCATCTTGAGAGCCTTATTTTTTGGGAGGCTAAGATCGGCCCTGGGAACCCTATGATGTCGAAGATAAGCGCGAAGACAGTGTGTGTCGTAACAGGGGAAGATTTTCCCAGGCGTTTGTCTCTAACGGAATGCAGACAATTTCATTTTAATAGAAAACATTTGTAAATGTTTAGAAATTATATATTTTATGAGAAAAGACAGTATACTCGGACGCGGTGGGGATGCGTGTCTTAGCGCTGTTTTTCGCCATCAAACATGGAAAGAAATGGTTGATGATAGAAGTCAAACCAACACGGTCATGCCGCCATTAATATAAACATCTGTAATTCATATAATTTAACGATTATTTTTCTTTATTAAAAAGAATATAAGAGGTGCGGAAATTAAAGATTTAAAGTTTTCTCGAGGATCTGACTAATAAGGACAGCGAACAGATGTCACAGACGCATGTTTTTCTGCAAGGAATGAGCATTACCAAATGTTAAAATTGCAAATGACTCGTTAATAGGGAAATATTTGCATCATCATACGCGAGCAGCGTATGATATTTTCTAATTAGTGTATGTAGCTAGAATTATCTCTCAAATCTAGTTTTAATTCACCATGATGATCTAACTACAATTTCTTCTGGGCTTCCAAAATGTCACTGGTTAGATGTTCCCTGTGTGTGACTACATTTAGGACAATTTTTATCATTAGCAGTGACTAACATTTGCAAATGATGACAAACTAGGTCCGCACAATTAACAATGTTTAGTATTGTCCTTTCATATAATCATCATCAACATTTTTGCATCATGAGCCTTCAAATATCACTGCTCGGCGATGGTTCATCATGTCGATCCAAATTGTTTCGAAAATTAAATAAATGTTCAATCCGTCTCGGATCGATGCCTTCATTGAGAAATAATTCAATAAAATTGTAAACTTGGATGAACAAAGAATGGTGTCACTCAGGTGAAAGTTATTTATGTATTGAACAGTCAACTCTTTCGTCTGCATGCATCGCATCGAACGCGTCGGACAGGTGCTACAATTTCTGGTAGTGTCACAATGCAAGAGCCTAATCTTTCCTAATTTTATGTTGCTTTTTACAAATACGGTGGTCTTCAAAATGGGGTGCAAGAAATTAGAAATAAGACGACTTAATTTCCAGAAGAGAAAGCTTCAAAAACGTAGCAAATTTTGGTTCAAGCTTGAGTGAAGTTGTGGAAGTATTGTCCGGGCATTAAGGATGATAACGAGTGTTTGATAACTTCTCATAACTCCCACTTTTTGAAGCAGCTGCACACTAATATGCAGAAGAATAATAAACTGGGAGTTCACTTGTACTAGAACAGCCAAATTAGCAACAAAAAACTATATTCTTTACGTGTAACAATATGCAACTGAAATGTCTAACCATATATATTATGGCATTTAAATTTACCAACTGAAATGCTTTCAAAGTACGTAAAATTACAAAGATGAAAAAAACTCTTTCTTCAAATTTATCTTTGAATCCACAAAATAATGGTAATATCTACACAAATTAATACAAACAAGTCAAAAGCTAAAAAGAAAATCATTACCAAATATTATGTTCAATTTCATCTTAAGGCGATATTTTTAAAAAGTACTGGGACATTTTCTCGTTGTCTATCATGCATTTCAATAATTTTATCATGTTGAGCGCCTCTGATTGGTTGCAGCGCGCTTTGTAGATAGCAGTGCAAGTCAACGCACTGATTATGCCGTGAGAGGAGGAGTTTCTCTCGTATACATACGGCAAATGGCTCATGTCCTCTAGTATCAACATAAAGGAAACGCGTTACAGGTGGCCACCATTATCAATGTCCTTAAAACGAAAATTGTAAAATTATATATATATTTACTAAATACGTTAACTTTCACATTCATGTTATTTTTGGCTTGGCGCTGTAGTGTCCTATAACATGTGGTGCATCTTGTTACATCAAACATGCCTTTTTTGCTTGAGATAAAGTATAGCTTTATTTCTTTTTTATTTTTCAGGTTTTGAATGAAAAAGGAGAAATAAAAGGGTGGATTGATGCAAGTGAAACAGGAACCGGAAACTGGATGAAATATATACGGAGTAGCACACGCTCGGAAAGCCAAAATCTGATGGCCGTTCAGACAGAGGAAGAAGTAAGATCAAACTCTATAGTCTAATGTATTCTCATTTATGCTGTACACATGGTTTACCTTAAATTTGAATTGCAAAAAATGAAGTTATGACAAAATTACTTTAGAAATGCTTTTAGGGGGATAAAATTTGTCTATAGCATTATCATGAAAAGAAAAATAATATTCTTTACAATTTTTGCATATTCCTGAAATAATAGTTTGTTGTCTAATGAAACATCTGTGTATTGATGTAGAGTTCGAATAGTTAGAATCTTAAATTTCCCGCGGTTCCCCATTGCTTTGGAATAATACTTCATGCCATGTGTTTCACATAATTTAACAAACATTAAGAAAAAAACTATGTTAAGAATGAGCGGAGTGTATTAACAACACAGTAAATTAGTGCGAGGGGAGCTTCTAAGACGATGTGTCTCTTTTTCTTGAAATTAAACAACATCCCGCGGAGCGGCGAAGATGGCACCAAAAGATAAGGCGGATTTATTGCATCCGTCTTTGGTTTCTTTTTTATGATTTTCCACGGTATGAGTAGTGCTTGATGTGAATTCTTCAAGGACCTTAAAATGAGAAATTTTCTCTTTCTGTATTTTACTCTGGCTTCTTTGAATATGACATACTAACGTCATCAGCTGTAATTTATTATTTTTAAAGTCGTGGTCCTTCTGAAAGGAAAGAGACTTGAAAAAATAATGATTTGATTGTTCTTGTGGAAGATTATTGAAATTTTTGCCCGCCAGCTCTACACATTTTGTCCTGACACAGGTCCCATGTAACGATTATGCTGGCCCTTTATTGATTATGCATGAGAAAATTGCAATGGTCGCACAGTTATCGTCAAAATAATTGTTTATCACCAGTACTGCTTGAGTAAGTAGATAAACCAAGAATTGTAATGATTTCAGTCTCTTCCTAATAACAAGCAGAACTTCACCCAAAATTCAATCTCTTTGATAGCATAATTGACTATATAAGTATTAAGAATGACGCGTACTCATTTTGTGTGTGTGTTTTATTTTAGTTTGTTTTGATTTTACCTGTAAATATATAGAGAAAAATCTTTTTAAAAATTATTGATACTGTTTATGTAAGATTTTTATTAAATCCACTTTTATATTTTATTTAAAAAGTAAAAAAAAAAATGGTTTATAGATGGAATTATTATCTTTCTATTTAAGTAAATAATTTTAAAAGATTTAAAAGCCATTATATGACCCTGCCGTGAAATGACCATAACTGTCTCCGCTGTCAAACTAACTGTTTTATTATAATAAATAGTATCCACTCTATTCATTTCCAATCATATTTGACAACAGATGAAAAAACATCAAGACGCAATGTCATACACGCACATCAATTAATGCAAAGGGATTTGGCCCGTAATCCAAGATTAAAACCGTTTTTCCAATTTAAGCTACCAGATTGATAACTAATTAGACATTAATGATGTGTTTTAAGCTCGGCGGGAGGGACAGGGGCTCGATGTTCACTCTGCTTTGTCTGTTCGCGGCTTGTCAGGTCAATTTTTGTTTTATTGGCTTGGGGAGGCAACTTTGACTAATCATTTCAAGGCGTGTCACTTTTACACCTGAAAGTGTTTACGGTGATGATGTACGTCGTTCAGTCAAAGCCATCTTGGCATTGAGGCGTTCATATTTAATATATATATTCTACAAAAATAGTCTTTTGAAATTAAAACTTGCTAAGTTCCCGTACATGCTGCTTGTTTTGCCTTTTAAGGTAAGCTTTTTTATATTTGTTTTTTCTTAAGGTTTAAAACTAGGAATTCAATATCTATTGATTTACTTAAGGTCTGATTAATCAAAGTTTTATTTGCAATGAAAGATACCATCAAGAAAATTAAAATTTTATTCTAATCATAGTTATAAAAAATACAGTCCTTAGTCCTAAAATGTGGGGAAAAAATGAAATTAAAATAAAAACGTTTTCTTCAATTTTTAGGTTCCGACCTAGTGATAATAAACTGAAAATAATCTAAGTAAATGAAATAAATATGAGCTAAAAATATGTAATGGATGAGTGTATTTATCTGAAATGGCTATCGCAGAGAAAGCGTGTCATTCCTTTATTTTTGTGTCAGATTTCTGTCCCTATCTGCATACACAGAAAACTCTGCTTATGACATAATTGGAAGGCCACTTATCCCACCGAATTACCAAGTAGCTGTTTATTTCTCGGAATAAGTGTTTTGCTTGAGTGCCATAATTACTTCCAAGTTTTGATATTACTGCATTATTTAAGGCATATCTGTCTCTTTCACTAATTTATATTCGTCCAACTTTCGCCCTACCGCGCTCAAAACTTATTTATTTTTTTCAAATTGAAAAACGAATTGGGAAAAGAAACTAGGGTTTAAATGTAAAGATAAAGACTATTTGAACAAAAATCTCTCTTTATAACAAATCAAATAGTCACAGAAGTTTGTTTGCAGTCAGTCTAATCTTTATAAGAAAAATCCATCGATCACAGAATGGCGGCTTCTGATTGGCTGACGCCGTCTGTCAATTACACCACCTGAGATGGGCACGCACAACCTTAAGTATTGTGTAAATTGACAGGTGAAATTGGAATCACCAACCGAGTCATGTAAAAATCCAAACAAACAAAATTACGGACACTTTCCCCCGTGTATGCCTCCAGTAAATTACAAGAACTTCTGTTCATTTTTAGATATACTATAAATCAATGAGAGATATACTTCCGGGCGAGGAGATGCTGTTGTACCCCTCAGACCCTGTTTGTCGTCTGGACACCCCAGATTTCTCCAAACTTGACGAACAAGGTTAGTAATAAATTACTTTATCAACTTTATAAAATTCAAAGAAATTTTATTTTAATTAAAAATATAACGTAAGAATACTATTTTAATAATAATTTTTAAGAGAAAATATATTTTTCATCTTTATAATTTTAAAAAATCTTTTTTTGGCTTGTTGTTTGTTTGTTCATTTTTACATAAATCAGTATAAATTATCTTAATTTTTTTAGACATTAAATTTTAGTTTAAAAACATTTGAATGTTGTATTTGATATCTTTGATGTTCTTACGAGTCGTCTCACTGCGCCATGTGTCTCTTTGAAGATTCATTCCACCAGGACAAAAATAAACAATTTAAAACTTTTACTTATACGCATGGAATATCATTCAAAAATGTCTTTAATTAAATTTCCAATAACGCCTTTCTTTTTTTCCCTTTTATACTTTCCAACTTTAAAAGAATCTTAATGATCTTGTCTCCTCGATAAGAACTCATATTCCCACATTATTCAAAACTGATAACTGAATGATAAAAGGAAAGTTTATTTCAGACCAACAATTAATAGTTCAATGCTTTTTTTGGTCGGGTCTAGTCTCATTGGGTGCGATACGGACATAGTAAGGGATTCCCGGGTCCTGCTGAATGCCGCTATAGAAAATGCCTTATACTTTCTATAAACCGATTATTAGGCTATCTATTCTTCCAGCGTCGGCTTCCTATCATGTATTTGTTTGGTTCTCAATAAGGAAATAAGCATTTTCCTGACATTCTAAATCTTCATTTCATATTTTTGAAAAGAACAGACTTTGGAAGAAAATTGTTTTACACCAAAAATACATTTTATATACATTTGAGCTTTGACTTTATGCATCTTTAAAGCACGTGCGGACTGGTTTACCGGGTGCGTCCTTAAGTCCTCCAAAGCCCCAGGAAGATTTCGGGGATCATGTCAAATTTGTTCTTTCTTGTATTAGCTTAGACGACAAGATAAAGAAATTTACAACCAGTGACATGATACAGAATAATATTTTAAAATTCCAAACGTTACTTAATCGAATCGTCAATTAAGGAATAAATTAGTCTAACAGAATGCTTTTAAAAAGTCCTCACATTAACTGACACTTATCATTGAACACTGCTGCTAAAGCAAATGTTTTATTTAAAGTATTTTTAAAGTGAATCTCTTAATGCGCATTTTTTCTTCAAATATATCGAGTGATAAGAAAATAAGGATACGGCAATAAACCTTTTGCAGCTCTATATCTGCATGCACGCTTTTTGTATTACTTCATAAGGGGTAAACCCGTGCTAAATGTATGCAAATTGCTTCAGCTCCATTATGAAGGCTTAGAAACTTTAATTGATTTTCACTTACTTTCAATTTCCCATGAAATTGTGACAGAATCACATTTGAGGTTCACCAGAAAACGAAATGAAGGTCAAAGCATAAAGAAAATTTAATTTTCCTAGTGTTCTCATCTCAGAGAAAGGAGTGTATCTAATTGTTATTTACGGCGAGAGTAGAGATAAAATGTTACCATATTTCAGCAGATAATAAAGCTACGCGACCCTGGTCTTAGTATTTGAGAAATAAAAGGAAAATCATAACGTGTAATTAAGACTGAATGGGGATGAAATGTAAATCACTGCATGTGTTTTATCTTTTTATGATATAATCCAGACACTATAAAAGACATACTTAATCTCCGATTTCAAATTCTTCAATTTTGCTTAATGATTTCAATTTGATATTTAAGTCCTACTTTTTGTAATATTTGGAACATTTGGAATTTATATTATATTTGTTCCCCTTTTTTTAAAGTGAACAATGCGGGTATTTGTTAAGGATAATTATTACCCCTGTGTTTCTTTTCGGTCAAGTTGACTTTTTACATCTCAAAGACAAGATCAGCTGTCAAAGTCACAATGCAAGCGCGTCCGTGATTTATGAATTATGGTAATACGAAAACGGTAGCTTGAATTCATCTAAATATTGTTTACCCTCGGACAAAAAGAAAACTGGACGTTCTGCCTTGGAGGTCAGTCTTGGTCACCCATTTCGGCCAAATATCATTTACAGACAAATACAAAAGAATTATTCAAAAAAATCTCTGAGCATTGGTCGTCCTGGTCATTCTAATGCGTTTTAGCCTAAAATAGAAAACGGAGATCTTTTCAAGAGGCCTCACAAAAAGATATTGCAGTGACCCGGCTGTAGCGGCTGTCTAAGGTCATGAGAAGGGTCGGGATCGAGAGGTTCCGATTGACGTTTGACCACTGGACAACGCACAGTTCCTCTTGATTACAATTTGTAAATGAGATAGAAGAAATTAATTCTGAAATCTTACACTGAAATTATAGATTCCCACAAACTTCTCTGACCGACTCTTCCGTGTAGGCTAAGAGAATCCCGTTTTCCTTGATTTTTTTTTCAGATCGACCCACATGTGTGTACACAATCAAAATTTATGTTCCTTTGATTATTTATTTTTAGGTGAAACAAATTACCCATGCGACTGTGGTGAAGTTTTCAGGTCTAAGATCGCCTTAGCACGACACCAGACTTACGCCTGTACCCACAGCAGCCACGTACAAAACATTTCTCAGAAAATGTCCATCGACAAGATTCCGGAAGAGGAGACAAAAGAATCGAAAAGGTTTGTGAAGTGTGAAACTTTGACCACTTTCATCACTATGAATGTCATGTGACTTTTTAAAAATTTTCAAAAGAAAAAGTGAAGTGCTACAAATGCAAGTGTCCTGTGTAAATCTTGTTGGGCGGAGTTTGATTTGAAGTACTCAGGGTTTCAGTTCACATGTATAAATCACAGGACGGAAATGTTTGAAGATTGCACCCTTTGTCATCCTTCTGTCTGCTAAAACACAAATTGAAGTGTCCTTAAATGCGTTGTTAAATAAAAGATATCAATTCGCGAATTTTATCACGAACAGCTTTGCGACTTCAGGCTTAATTGATAGAAACTTGAAAGACAAAAAAGTTCCTTGATAATTCCATCTGACAGTTTGTGGAAACAAAAAGTTTAAAAAGAAGGAAATAAACGGACAAAAATTCAAATTCATATGAAAGTGAAATTGTCATGTTTCATAAGTTTTGTTTGTCAAAGATAAAACACAATCTTGGAAAAGTTCCCTTCTACATTTTGGGCTACTTTTTTCGAAGATCTGTCGGGGTAACTTCTTAAATGTTACGTCTAACAAGTTAAACTTTCAAATTTAATAAAGGCATATAACTCTTTGAACATACTGAATGAATGAGTTTGACTTGCAATAAAAAGACGTCTTTTCTTTTTTTCTGAAGATTGGCATCAAATGTTAGATTATCTTATCACCTTATCAAATTTATGTCGCGATAGGAGCCCTGTTTTGACATGATTTCTAGTGTCAAATTTATTAAGTGAAAAATCAAGATGTATTTGATAAAATCCGTCAACAATACAAAACATTGGTTTTATTAGTCAGAAATTACTAAAGGATACGCGTGCTGAATGCGCCTTTCCAATGAAATTAGACAATGAATGAGGGCAACTGTTTGCAAATAGAGTTGTTCGACACGACAACAGCTGCAATTAAAATCAAAAATTTTGATCCAGAAAAAAAAATCACGTATCCGAAGTGTCCGGGTTACAGAGTGCCTTGTGCATCATTGATGTCACGTGATACAAAATTCTACCCGTTTTGTTTCAGCTTGATTAAGCCGATTAAATTAAAAAATTAACCACATCCAATATTTTTCGATCCTCGAACATCATCAAATCGGAATGATATAACAGTGTGAGGGCATCGGCCCTTAACCAAATAATCCCCTCGCTATGACTACTTACCAGCCTAAAGAACAGGGATCAAACCAGGGCGAGCCTATAAGCACTGTCCGCAGTGACCCAAGGGGACTGACTCCACGGAATGTGTTAGGTGGTTCCTTTAGGTGTACAGTTACACCTATTGGTTAACGCTTACTTACGAGTCGCCTTTAATCACCTGTCATGCATTAAGCCTGGAATTCCCTCCTCTGCCTCCGCGATTCGTCTTTCCCTGCTGTAAAATGTAACACATTGAAGAGATGAATAGGTCCATTGTTAAAAACATAGATTCAAGAGACATAGAAAATAAACACGAATACATACACGGGGGCGAGAGTCGGGTTACAGCTTCGAAGATATTTTACCTGTTGTAACTGTTCTGATCGGTTTAAAACATTGCATGATTTCACCTCATTTAGACACCTGTTGACACCTCGGATGGAAGGATGCTACATTATAGCCGCCATTCATCCGTGTCCGTTCTAATGGGTGTTAAGCGATTCCTTTACCTTCCAATTACTTGTGTCAGAATTAAAAGCATCCCTTCAATGCAGTACAAGTGTTTCTGATGCATATCTCAGATCTTCAAACATATAATCTTTGCGACGCCCGCATAGTACCTATTGTACTTTGTCAACCAAGGTCCTGGCTTTTTATGTTAACGTGGTTAACCATTTTAATTGATGAAAAGTACATCGTTTTTATCCCCTTTAATGTTTCTTAAACGCTCGAATCATAAAAAATACAATCTTTTTATTGTTCGATGGTATTATCACTGCACGTTACCTGGTTCTGTTACAGTGTAGTGAATGGGGAGACTGACCTGTCTTCTGAAGCACCAGAGGCCGGGGACCAGGGAGAGTTCAAATGTGACGAGTGTCCGAGGTCATTCCAGTGGAAGTCCAACCTTATCCGTCATCAGGTAGCCTTCATATATACGAGAATAAAACATGCTTTTTCAAGTTAGATATCTACAAAAACGATATTTTACTATACTATTTTTTTTACAGATTACCCACGATTCTTTAAAGAAATTTAGCTGCGAGAACTGCGACAAGATTTTCACTGATCCAAGCAATCTACAGCGCCATATAAGATCTCAGCATGTTGGTGCAAGATGCCATGCATGTTCAGAGTGTGGAAAGACTTTTGCGACATCTAGCGGACTGAAGCAGCATCAGCATATCCACAGCAGTGTTAAGCCATTTCAGTGTGAAGTCTGTCTGAAAGCATACACCCAGTTCTCCAACCTTTGCCGCCACAAGAGAATGCACGCCGACTGTCGCCAACAGATCAAATGCAAAGATTGTGGACAAGCCTTTTCTACCGTTACTTCTTTGAGCAAGCATAAACGATTCTGTGAAGGCGCTCTAAGGAATGGAATTCATCTTGGATTTCCTTCCGACAAGATCAACCAACTGAGCATGCCTAATGCAGTAACTCCCTCTCCTCTGAATCCAGCTCTGTACATGGGGATGTATCGGCCTCCGTATCCATTCTACCCTCCACTTGGAGCCTCATTTCCAGTATTCCCTGGCAGTCATCCATTCACTGGATTGACCTCTCCTATTTCACCTTCCAGTCCCTCAAAGATGTCTCTACAATCAACCTCTCCTTTGGGAAAAGCTGTCATTCCTCCACATCTCTCACCCCGTGAGCGAATGTTTGATCGTCATGCCGAGGGATCCGGTCGTCATTCCGTAAACTCCAACTCAAACGATTCACCCTTAAGTTCTGGCAGTGAATCCGACCACAGTTCAGCTTCAGATGCTGAAAGTGAGAGCAGCTCCTCCAAACGACCTAGGATCAAGTCCCCATCTAGAGGATCTCCTCATCAACCTTGGTTGCCATTTAGTCATCACACTTCTGTTAAGACTGAGAGACACTCACCAAAAATTCCGGAACAGCCTTCTCCAGTTAACGATAAAGAAGACAAAAAACGAGATATTCCATTTGATCTATCTAAAACAAACAAGTCACGCTCCCCATCACCAGCACATTCTAGCTCTACCGTATCGCCTAGACCATCAGGAGAACAACCTCTTGATTTAACTCGAAAAGCTCCGAAAGAAACAACACCCCCTGAAAACACCAGAAAAACTCATATATTTGGGATGCCATGCTCCGCCTCAGATTCCAAACTTCATTATGCCTATCCACAATTTGGTACTCCAAATCTAATAATGGATCATCTACGTTTAGGAAAAGAAAAGTTCCAACAATCGCTTCATGAAGCCTCCAAATTCATGCCATTCTCTCGTTTTCCAATGAGCAGCTCTTCCTATGTCGCTGCTGCTATGGGACAATTTGGGACCATCAAACGTGAAAGTGAAGAAAAGGGTTTGTCATCCATGATGGACAAACTACCCGACACTTTCCCGTACTCTTCAAGTGGTAGCAAAGTAAAGGAGAGATATGGATGCAAGTTTTGTGGAAAAGTATTTCCACGATCTGCCAATCTGACTCGTCATCTTAGAACCCATACTGGAGAACAACCGTACAAATGTAAATACTGCGAGAGGTCATTCAGCATTTCCTCTAACCTCCAAAGACACGTCAGAAACATCCACAACAAGGAGAAACCATTCCGATGTACACTCTGTGATCGATGCTTTGGACAACAAACCAATTTGGACCGCCACTTGAAGAAACATGAGACTGAGGGACCAAATGTTCGGGATTCTCCAGTTGCTGAACCAGATTTAGAATCCAAGGACGAATCTTATTTTGCTGAAATCAGGAACTTCATCGGTAAAGCCACGGATCGAGAACTCAACATGCCGGTCATCAACGATAGCCATCCCCCTAATCAACAACACGTGGATCATCATCCGAGAGATAATAAAATTGACGATGCTGACGATGATGTTGAAGATGATGATGAGGAAGATGACATTATGGACGACGAAGATTTAGAGAGTGACAGAATGGACGGCAGCTCCCGTGGCAGTTCTCCTATCAAATAAACATTAGTGTTGTTCAACCTCATATTGTACATGTAAGTAAAATCGCGTTATATTTTTACATTCAATACAAACTGCCTTAAAAAATTTTTATTTGAAAAAATATAGAAACAATTCTTTCTTTCAAAATTATTTAGATATTTGTGCTTCTTTTTCAGACTTCATTCGCCAGACAGAGGGACCAATCTACGATGGTGTTTTTGCCTTCGTTTAATTACTTTTGACCAATCAGATTAACTTATTCAAATCGTCACGTGTGCAGGAGGTTGCAGAGGACCAATCATATCGCGAGTGTTTGTGTGTGAACTTGATCTGTCTCCTTCAGGACTTTTCCTGAGATGACTTATGAATACAATGCCGCTTGTATGCAGTTTATATCAGTGTGTCACGTGTGTGTTTGTGTGCTTTACAGTGTAGCCATATTTAAATTATTTATTTATTTTTTCATTTTGTCCTCCACTTTTACGAAAATAAACAAAATACATAAGCTCGTTCTTTTATTTGTATCTGGTGTACTACGTTACTAAAATCTGCGATGATTGTCGGTTATATTCGGGGGGGGGGGGGGGGGGTCATGTTCAGTTGATGAGATATTCCTAATTTTGGATAATTGGGAACTCCTATTCTTGCCCAACTTATAGGTATTTAAGATTCGGCTGCTCAGAGATAACAAATTCTCTTTAAATGCAATTTACATATGAGAAATGGAAGATTGTATGTATCCCTAGATGTACACATATTTATGAAAATTTCAAGTAAAATGCAGATTATACATCTGCATCGAAGCCTCATGTAGATGAAACATTTGTGCAAGTTTGTTTAATAAAGAATGTTTATGGACCCATGCTCAACAACCAAAAAAAAAACAAAAAACAAAACAAAACAAAACAACAACAAAAAAAAAAAAAGAAAGAAAAGTGAATCAAAATGGTTGTAAAAGTTTTCTCATTCCAATTTTTATCTGTGTGGTAGGCAGGAATACGTTCGTGTTATTGAATCAAAATGTTTAAAGAAGATAATGATATTTTTACAAACTGACCCTAAATTTATAGGTATACTTACAATATTTATAGGTAAACTATTCTCCGCCTATGTTATTCATACATGTATTATGTAACATAAAATTTCTGAGTTGTTGCATCACGATAGCTATATCAATAATTTCGACCTTTGACCTTGACCTTAAGCTAAATTGTACTCTTCCCGCTAGTTTCCTTTTATATAGTGAATTTTGAGTCTGTAAGATATTGCATCATAGGAATGTGAATGTGTATGAATGTTGATAAAAATACTTCAACAGTTTCTTTGAAACTAAGCTAAACACAAATGTGGCAGAAGGAGTTGGAAGGATGGAAGACAGACATGAGATGACAAATATTATATGATCCTGTCATATTAATCGTCAATGTTTTTCGTGAATCCCTGTGACCATTTCACATTCCTGTGATGTAATATCTATTTTATTATTGGTGAGAGCTATTTCATAGCTTTCTCACCATGAAATCATATTTATAACATTGACCTCACTAGCCATCGTTTTTTGTTAAGCTCAGTTTTAAGAACCGAAGTCACCACAGTGTGTACATGTAGATCTATTTTAAAATCACTTTTAAATACTAGTAATTAGGTCAATGACCTACTTTTCATGCTAGGAGCCTCTTAAGTATTTCTGGGAAAATGCCTCAAATTCTTACACTATGAACAATATTTTTGTCCCCCGCTTTTGCGAAAGCGAGGCGGCATTAAATTGCATTTGTCTGTTGGTCTGTCCATCTGTCACAAAAACTTGTGACCTTGGTCATAACTTTTGATTGAGAAATGATGGGGCTTTCATATTTCACATATACATTACCTGTGACAAGACCTTTCCAAATGCATTATGAATTTTGACCCCGTGACCTTGTCCTTGAAGTTTGACGCCTTTTTTTAAAAAAAAAATTAACATTTGTGATAAATTTTGAAAGACGGAAGATGGGGTATTCATACTAATATACCATGATTTTTTACCCCTTGACCTTGAAGCTTGATCTACTTTTCAAAAATATTATCAATTGTGATAACTTTTCAATGAGAAAAGATATGGCGTTCATATTTGACATGTACATAACCTGTTTCATGAATGTGCATGTGCTATAGTTTTTTTTACCTTGACCTTGAAGTTAACCAACAGTACTTTTCAAAATTGGTGAAAACTCTTGTAAGAGAGAAGATAAGGCTTTCTTATTTGACCTGTGCATTACCTGTTACAACAACCTTTCAGACTTTGACTTCATGACCTTGACCTAAAAGTTTGACCTATTTATTCAAAGTTTTAACATTGGTCATCACTTTTCCTATTAAAGAGAAGGGCTTTTATATCTTTTTTACATGAGCATAATTGTGACGAGACCTTCGAATTGTATTATATTTCACCTCATGACCTTGATCTTGAAATTTGATGCATTAAAAAAATATATAAATCTCTTGTATGATGGACAGACAATAAAGCACAACAGACAAAACAATTTTAATCTAATATTTTAAATAATTAAAAAATTTTCTATAGGATATCTAAACTATTTAAGACTTAAGTTAACTTAAATTGTCCTTGTTCTGCTGGTGTCAAAATTATATGAGATCAAAGATCAAATTTTTGAAAAATATTTCTGGAACGACTTTAAGTTTATATTTCATATATTTTCTCATTGCTTGCTATCCAAATATTTGAAACAATACATGAGTCTTAGCCATGCTACGAAAGGGTTGTTATGCGGTTGTCTCGGGTGCACAAAGCGCGCCCTCGTCAAGCCGAGTAACAACCCTTACAAGTTACAAGTTATCTCTTTTTACCAGAGATCTGCAGATAGAAAAGACGCAGAGACCAAAAACAATATCTACGACATCGGGAGTATAGAATATGTTAGGAGTCAACCATAAGGAAACTGAAATGTATAATCAAAATTAATGTATAATTATGATAATTATATACAGTGTACATGTACCGTACTGGTGAGAAAAGAACAATATTTTACTTTGATTGTGAGACGATATATTGTTTGGAATAAACAAACTTACATGTATTTAAATCTTCTGAAAATATGCCGATGTGAAAGTCGGTTTAATGATAAATGATATAGAATAGCTTTATTAACTGGAAACTAATATCAAATCTTCAACAAGTTTCACTCTTAAATTTTAATAAAGAGCTACCAGAAATGGATCAAAACAAACCATGACTGACAAAATATCAAAACAATATAAGAATATTTGCTGGTAATTTATATTGCTGCAGTTAAAGTAATTTGTATGGACATTAAAAATGTTAGTGTGGATCGAAGCTCAAGTGGAAAGCAGGTATATTATTTAAACAAGTGTAGATCATTTCTTTGCAAAGGGAATTCTTGTTATCTTAGCAAAACAAGCATCTTAATATTTTGTCTTAAAAGCGTATATCAATTTAAAGAAACAGAACACGCAGTCATTGTCCGACAATTGGGTAATCACAGCATGAATGGCCCATTCCAGTGACAATAGAAATCATATGTCATCCAGATATGTACACGGATAAACACAGATTTCCGCCATAAATCGGAAAGTTATCACTGCTCAGCTATCACTGGAATTAAAGGACCGTGTCTGAGAAATTATATATGGTCTTTCCCAGGATAATGCAATTCCGATTGTCTTTGCTTGTGTCATTTGAGACCGGTTCCCTGGTATCAGTGGTTGGTTGAGCTTCCGGTTTGAGGTAAATCTCTCTCCTTCCATTTACTTTCGCCTCTTATCTTCAGGACACGTGATTGATCAGGTCTGCTTACCAAAGATCGGATTTGACAAAAATGACAGAAAAACCGTTTTCCTCATTGTCTTACAGGTTTATGACATTTCAATTGAAAGCCAAAAGTCCTTTTCGCAGTAACGTTATATACGTTCAAAAGCGGCGTAATGACTGACGGTCGATAAAATGGACATACAAAAACTGACACCGGAAGCTAACAAGATTTGCGCAAACGCAGCCACTCGTCAAAAACAAATGTAACGCCTGTTAGTTCTAGTGAGAAAAATTAGTGCATTGTGAACAAGATCACTCGTTCAATAAACAATGAACGATCTTTTCTGTTTCAAGAATTAGGTAATTTTCCAACATTTTTTAGATTTCAATGCGTTCTGCTGTAATGAGGCGATAGTTCTGATTTACGTCGTGTCCAAATTTTCCGCATCATCCAGTGCTTTGTTGGTTCCTTGGTTTGGGATGAGAAAATCATTGCCTTCGACGTAAATTTAAATCATTTAAATCTTTATCACGAAATGTGCTCATTATCTGCTTCAGAGCAATAATTATCCCCCACGACACACTTCTGAATTGAGATTTTCTCCAGTGCAGATCGTTTCAATCTAGTTGTTATGATTACAATATTAAACATTGTATGGTTATTTATAATCTTTACCCCCTTTTCAGCAGTTTGTTATTGTTTACATTAAAAACTATTATGATGAATAAAAAAAAACTTTACTTATAAAAGTGTCATTTGTTTTGTGATTGAATAAAGTTTTATCCAATGAGTTGGCCGTTTTCTATCTACGATCCAAACACTCGTGTGTTAAAGAAAACGCATAACTGGATATAAACGGTATCCCATATCAAACAATCAGTTTTATTCCTAATGCAAACTAACCGGAAAACTGTATACATTTATCTGCGATATTGTTCTCCAAGGTGTTGTTTATCGGTAAATTAAAAATGTGAAAGAGGACCCTACTGTCATAAAAATAATTCTATTTGTGGAATTTGATTAGATTGTAATTTCGAGGAAAAAAATCAGGACTTTCCACAATGTCTAGTGACAAACCCGCCATTATAACGGAGATGTCAGAATTAAGTGTCGCGTCAGCCATGGAAGATGCTATGGGTGATAACAATAGGCCGGAGAAGACTTTATTATGTATGTCCATTTATTACTAAATCTTACAAATATCAACCGAGATGCGTAATCTCTTGGTAATCTTGGCGATAATCGTATGTTATCGTTCTTTGATATCTCCTGTCACTCTGTATTCATTATGTGGGGTAAAGAAACCTCATCGGGATCGGATAGCGTGATACGTCAAAGATAAAGGGCTGATAACTCTATCTGTGTGTTTATCTGTAGAGTCACAAAAACTACAAACAATGCTTCACACTTTTATGTTGATGTGCTATCAAGTTCATCACTGTCTTTGGCAAGAATTAAACATGAAAATTAATCGCCGATTCACTAACCACCGCCTCGTCTTCTTTTGATTGACAGCAGACGACACATTCCTTCCTACAACCACCGATTATGACGTCATCCATTCCAAAAAACCAACCATTGTTGACAAGGAAATTATTTCGTTATCATTCTTTAAATTGCGCTTTTCGAAGGAAGTTGACACTCTGGGAAACGGTCAGACAAAAATTAGAGGAAGGGAGGAATATCGCTTATCGATCTCAACCAAGTGTAGTATTGGGGTCCAACCAACTTCTAT